AATAAATGCTACAAATAAAAGTAAAATGCCAGATAAATGTTATATAATTTTAGTTTTAACTGTACTATAGAATTATTTTAATAAAATATTAGTGTTCCTCATTTTACAATATAAAGAGAGTGACGAGAATATTTAATTATGACAGTAGCGAGAATATGTACATATAATATTAATGACATTTTGTATTGGGAAGTTAAATTTGCTGTTAAAAATGACATTTTTCATTAACGGGGAACTTAAATTCATTAATCAGTTTAAATAATTTAACAGATTTTGTTCATATCTATTGAAATTTAACAATTTCATTTACGTTTGAAATGTGATGTTCATTTATAAAATATTTTTGAGCACAGAATGAGCATGAAATTTTTTGAACCTTTCACAATTTCTCATTCATAAAAGAGTTTTATTTTCTTTATTCGCTGTACACGATGACATGTTTTTTTTTTTGCATTAAAATCAATCAAATTGCATTAAATCACGTATTATCATGAAAGGACCATAATCATAAAGTACCATTTTCGTACAAATAATTATAGTTTTCAAATTGTTGATTAATAAAAAAAAAAAATTGCTTTAAAGCATGAAGTTCAAATAAGCTAGATCTCTAATGTCACTTTCCATTTAATGACATTATATGTATTTCAAAAATGACAGAATTATTCTTATTCTTTAAGTCTAATTTATTATAATTATATTCTTTTTATTACAGTAACATTCTATTATATTCCAAAACTTTTATATATGTACATATGTGCATTTTTATGTGATCTCATTCAAATGACAAATCTCAAAAAACAAAAATGTCTTTTTCCCAATTTTTTTAAAAATAAAATTAAATTCATGAATTTATTAACTGCAATTGTTGAAGTCAATGTTAAATTTTCTTTTTTTTTGATTATTTAAAAAGGTTAAACATTAAATTTCAATAATAAAAATTTTAGGTAATAAAAAAAAATAAAGAAAAATGCTAAGTTGTCATTTTAAATTGAAAATCATTTCTGATTCTTAGTTTTATGTCAAAAAATTTGACATTTAAATTATTTTTAATTTTTAAATTATTACTATATTGTTATATACTATATTTAAGCTTGATTTTAAACTACATAATTCACACCTGACATTATAAAGTAGTTGGTAATATTTTAAGAGAGATTGATTTTTCTTACTCTATTATTTTGTTATTACCGTCGCCGTATAGCGTAATTGAATTAAGTGACAAGCGTTTTTTTTTTATATAGGCGGAAGGAAATTATTGTTTTTTTGTACCTCTTTTTTTTAAATTCTAATATTAAAATTTACATATAACACGGCATTCTAAATATAATTTTAAAGTCACAAAAAACAAAAACAGAAAATAAAATGATTTAATCACGATTTTTCTTATTTTTCTGATATGAAAAATTCTTTAGTCCATGATCTTTGATTACAATCAAATAAAATATTTTTTTATTTCAAATTGTTATACCATAATAAAAAAAAATTTATAAAGTGAATTGTTAATATTATAACTTAATTTGAATTAGAAATAAATATTTGTCTTATTTCTTTTTTTTTGTATTGCAGCATTAAAAATCTTTAGAATTTTACCAATTGTGTATCTACTTAATTTTTTTTTTGTAGTAATAAGTTGAATAGTTGACTTTATCAAAAAAATATTTTCGTAATGCATTTATTGTATAGGTATGTACTTATTTCTACTTAAGTACATACCTATTTTGTATGACAGTAGAGCTTAATGCTTGATCTAAGATATCATTTTGATAACAATAATAGTATGTAAAGCATAATATTGTGTAGGCGATTAGATTTTTGTAAATTCATAAAATATAGGTTATGCTATTTAAAATGGTTAACTGTATAACTAACTAGTGTTATATAGTTTCAAAAATGCATTCTATATATTTAATTTAGAACAAATGATTTTTAGATTAAAATATAAGTTTGGCATAATCTTTTGTTTTGTTTTTGATTAATCATTGAAAATATAACATGTAATTGTCATTTAAAATATTTATCTGATTTGTAAAAAAATTAATAAAATTACAGTCTTATATATTGAAAAAAAAAAATAAGATTAATTTTTTAATTTAATATTTTTTGTGTATTTTTGGTTATAAAAATTTGTAATTTGTTGTATAAAAAAAATTATTTTCAATATTAATTTTATTATTTAAATAAAAATAATAGTTAAATCAGAGAATTTAAATGACAGTAAGAGATGTGTCTACGATAAATCTTGTTTTGATACTTTTTTGACATTTATTTTGGTACACAAAATTTTAAAGTAAACGTAAAATTTGTGACTAGCGCCCTCTTATCCCGAATAGATACGTAATTTTTTTAAACCATAATCAATTAGAACATATTTTAATAAAAATATAAAATTACTTTTTAAAATCAAGGTTAATGGTAGGTTTTTGCTTTGTTTTTGTTTTTAACATAAAAATTTCTGTCCTAATTCTTTGTAAGCTTTTCGTAAAGAACAAAAGTTTTTTTTCTATTCTGTATAGTAAAAACTAAATTAATTACAAGATATGTCGATAGTAAAATATAGCGGTTATTTTAGAAAAATTGCTATTACAAAACATAAAGTTAAAAAAAAGTAGGACTAAAAAGTTATACTTTATGATTAAATATTTATTTTTGTAAATAAAAGAATCGATTACTATTTGATCGCGACTATGAAAACTTGTGATACACAAAACTTAATCGATAATCGAAATATATTTGTTTACAAAATACAAAATTAAATATAAGGACAGTTGACAACGTAATATTTGCATTGAAGTCTAAAAATTTTCGAAATCAAGTTATTTTTTTTTTTAAAATACCAATTAATTAAAAAATCAATCAATAAATGTTACATAGAACATCAATAATCTTTATAATGCAAGAGATTTAAGGGGTATCAAATTCAACAAATAGTAAAATACAGTAAATGAAACCAGTTTTTAGAAGCATTATTTGTCATAATAGTTTCACTATTAAATACTTTTGAAAATTAATTCCCTGCAATTTAATTAATAATTATTTAAACTTCTGTTTAAACTTAATTTTCGTGGTATTTTTAATATTGCCATATTTCTTAAAAGATCACAAATATGTACACTAAATTTTAATTTCAATTCAATTGAGACCAAAATGTTAGGAGTAATATGGGTAAATGTTATAATTTAAGCGAATATTATGTAAATTTTAAAAATAACCTAAAAACCTAATGTTATGATATTAAGAGAAAAAATCATTAAAAAAAACTAAAAAAAATTTTCTGCATTTTTCATTTGTTTAAATGCAAATATCTGAAATCTTAAGTCCAGAGGTATTTTTGTATTAATTCAGCATTTTTATAAAAATTGAAAAATATCATGCAAAATATAAAATATAATATAACGCGTATATGAGTATAAATATGAGTGTTCCTACATATAAAGAAAAAAAAAAACCTGTAACAAAATATAATTTTGTATGCACACTCGTATGTATGCACAAAGCGTATTATAAAATAGTTTGATTATATTAAATGTTTTGTGGTTTTAATTTTCAATTAACTTACAATGAAATTAAGTTCATTTCAGGTTAATAAAACAGAAATTAAAAATTAAAAAAAAGGAAACCAAAGAAATTCAATTATACTATAGAAAATGGGTATCACATTTTTGATACATTTAAAATGTGATACATTCGAAATTGATTTTGGAATCAGCAATTATTCCGCGATTTATTTGCTTTCTTGCAACCCAAAACATATTTCTTAGTGCTCTTGTCAGAAGTCTCGTGTATTTATTTACCAAAATATTCATATTCCGAAATTGTTAATTAAATACAAGAAAATAATATTTTTCCAATTACAAATTAAAACATTCGATTTTATTGTCAAATCATAACTTTCCATATTTAGATATTGTGACATTCCAAAATTGTAATTTTAATTAATAATTTTGTTACCAATTTAATTATAATTCTGTCATCTGTAACAACTCTTTCTATACCCTGTCTGCATGCTGTTTATAATTTTAGAGTGCATTCTAAAATTTATTGTACATATGGTTAAAATAATTGTAAAAAAATCAAAATAAAATAAAAAATTATTAAAATGAAATTGTGCTTGTGGCAAACCAGACATTAAAAAAATATATTTTTTATAATTTTTTTTTTCTTGTCCATGTTAAATTTCAAATAATTATAAATAAAATGTATATTTTGGTTATTCTATGTTTTTTTTTTTTGCATAATTTCAAACATCAAAGTATTAATCTTGATTTTTAAAAATTTCTCAAATTTCAATCACTTACGGTTATTTTCATGTAAAACTATGAGGAGTTAAGAAATTTTTTTTTTATTTTTAGGTTAGAGTGGACTCAAGACTTTAGTAGTTGAAATATAAAAATTGAGAATAGAAGAAATAATATTTAATTTATATAAAATTTTTCTTTTTTGGTATTCTTTCATTTATTTATTGAGCAACTTGTCAGATTTTATTAAAATAACTTTAGCGACATGTTTTTGAATTTTTGTTCTTATTGTGATTTTGCGGACAACAATCCACTTATAATAAATTTGTAACCACACTATGATTTGAATTGATTATTTCGTTCATTTTTGTATTAAGTAATTAAGGAAGAAATTTGCTGTATCATAAAGGATAATGAGTTTAATTTCCAGATAACTAATTTGATTTTTTGGCAAAAATATCAAAATTTTTAATTATTTTTGTCAAAAATTTGATACAAATACGAGACTAATTTGATACAAATACAGTTGTTTTCGTTTAAATTATTATATTCCGTCACAATTGTCATAAAAGAATGACAATTACAGATGTCAAGAAAAAATTTCATAAGGTAGAAAAGATTTTGTATTAAATTTGAATAATAAATTACAATTTACTTAAATTTTAATAAAAATATGCAATTAAAAAAAAATAACTTTTATTTTTTCGATAAATTTTAATAATTTTTAATTTTATTTTTTTAATTTTATTTCATTAATATATGTAGTACTTAGAAATGCATTTAATGCATTCGATCCAGAAAAAAAAGGATATATTGATACTGCTATGGTTGGTACAATATTAGGTATGTTAGGACATCAACTTGATGATCAAGTATTAGGTGAAATTATTGCTGAAGTTGATGAAGATGGTTCAGGTCAAATTGAATTTGAAGAATTTACAACATTGGCAGCACGTTTCCTTGTTGAAGAAGATGCTGAAGCAATGCAACAGGAATTAAAAGAAGCTTTTCGTCTTTATGATAAAGAAGGAAACGGTTATATAACAACAGCTGTATTAAGAGAAATTTTACGTGAATTAGATGATAAATTAACAAATGAAGATTTGGATATGATGATTGAAGAAATCGATTCTGATGGTTCTGGAACCGTTGATTTCGATGGTATGTATATATTATAATATGTGAAAATATTTTATAAATTATAATGATACATAAATCTCCATAGAAATAATTATGATATGACAAGTAAATTACAAGTATTCTAGGGGCATACTATAAAATAGATTTCTGAATGAGGTTATATGCAAACGAGAGAAATCGGATTAAAATAATTTCTTTGTGTAATTTTCTTTTTGTTCCCGTACAAGTTAAACAAGGCTTAAATTACTAAAGCATTGTACAAATGCAATCAGAAATATTGTCGTTGTTTTTAAAAAAATTTTTTTGGAACTTTTGATTTTTAAATTTGATTTGAAAGTTTTAAAAATTTTGATAAAAATTTTCGAAAAAATTTGAAATGTTTACAGTTGATTGCAGCTTGTATAACTTTAATAATAATTTAATTATACCTCAGAAAATGGTTAAGCTGTTGCTGCCAAATATAATACGAGTTATGTAAAAAAAACTACAACTATGCAATTTTTTTAATTTTGTATGAAATTACGTTTGTAATTCGTAAAATCAAAAATCCTTACATAAAGGAAAAATATAGGCGATTTAGTCAGAATTGGGAAGAACTTAGCATGAAATTCAAAAATGAGTTCATTTCATATTATGGCATTGCTACTTAGTTCATAACTTATTAATTTTTTTTTAATTATATTATTTTTATTAAAAAAAAAATATTAATTTTTATTTTTAATATTGCAGAATTCATGGAAGTTATGACTGGCGGTGACGATTAAAACAACGTATATGTATATATATATACATAATATAATTTACAAATGTAAAAATTTTTATGTTATACATTTAACAATATTTTTATATTTTAAATTGTATATATAAATTATTTATACTTTTTAATTAAAAGAATTTTAATTCACACTGAAATCTCGAATATTTTTTTTTTATTTATGTAGAAGAACACTTATTTTTTTTATTTGTTTTTGAAATTTCCCTAAATATATTTTACATTTTGTTTTCAAATCGTATTTTGTTTTTAATTTTTCACGAAATTTGTTTTAAATTTTACAATATATTATAAAATATATATAGCACAGAATAGTGTGATTTGTTTTTTTTTTAATTAAAAGAAAAAAAAATTGAAAAATAATAAAGATTTTTGGAAAAAAAAAAATTAATAACATATTTAATCAATTTATTAAAATATTGCATATTATAGGGAATTCATTAATTTATAAGAAACAAAATAAAGTTTATAATATTATGTTATATAACTACAACCAAACCAAATCAAAAAAAAAAAATATGTATAACAAAATAAAATAAATGAAATATTTTATTTTTAAATTAATATTAACTCGCTCGCTCAAAATATTTAAGTTTTATAATTGTTTTTTTTTTTAATAGAAATTTAGTGTTTTGTCTTTTTAAAAATATTAAAAAAATATATATATGTACTTAATATCTGTTATATAAATTAAAGAAAAATAAGAAAAATCAATAAAAATAACGAAAATAAAATCTTCCATAATCGCTCAAAGACATCAAAAATACTATTTAATATAACAAACAAATATATATATTTATATAAATATATATATATATACATATATATACATATATATATATATAAATATTCAATGTTCGCAACACAATTTATTACTTTATATTTAAAATATAAATAAACAATTCAATATTACATATATATATATATATATAAATTATATAATTGTATCAAACATTAGTATATTAAAAAAAAAAATTTATAATCATGAATTGTTTATGTTAATTAATTTATTAAAAATGTTTTCATTTAGTTTTTGTTTTTTAAACAAATAAATAGTTTTTTTTAATATTATTACAATTATTATACATAAAATATAGAAGACACACATACACTATATTTTCTTCTATAATATAAATTTGTATAACAGTTTTATTTTTACTAATTTTTATATCTTTTGAGATTACATATTATAATATTTTGTTACCACTACTACAACGTTCTATAATTTATATAACAAACTACATCTGTTATATTATTTATTATATATAACATAATAACTATATATATAATAATAAATTTTATAAAATTAACTGTTATACAAATAAATCTATATATAATATATTATTTTACTTAATAAATTCGTGTTTTATCTTTAACAGTATAACCATTAAAAAAATATTTTTTGAAAGTAATAATCTATTATATCATATATGACTTAATTAATTTCTTAAACATTGTTTACATATACATATATATTTATATATTCTATTTCTAATTTTCTTTATCGAATGAAAACAAAAATTAAAAAAAAAAAAATATTAACATACTAATTATACTAAATGTTTAATTAATGTTACTAAAATGTTAATTATACTATGTTTAAATATTATGGCTTGAAAGCATAATAAAATTTTTAAACAATTTTTTTTTGAAATTTAAATTAATTCATACACTATATATCAATTTATTAAATATATATACATACGCCTATTACATAGATATAAATATGTCAAAATAAAGAAAAAAAAAAAAAACAAAACATCAAATATCGTATATGTATACTAAATCTGTTATATAATACAATTAAATAATAAAATTTGACAAATTTTTTTATTGTATCGAAATATACAAAAATATTAAAAAAAAAAAATTTAATGTCAAAATTCATATACGTCCATATTAATTTATAAAAAACAAAAAAAAAATTTTCTTCAAAATACGAGAAATTATATAAATGTGTTATACAAATTAACATATAAAACGGATTGTTTTTTCAAATTTATTAATATAACAATGAAACAAAAGAAAACTAATAATAATTTGCAGCCGCTTTTAATTGATTAAACAAAAAAAAAAAAGCAAATAAAAAAATTATGTATATATATTTTTATTAATATATATAAATATATATACATACATACTATGAAAATAATATAATACATTACAAATTGAATTAAATTAAAAAATAAAAACACACAATTATTTTAATTACGTGTAACAGTTTTCATAACAATTTTAAAAATACAAAAAAAAAAAAATTTAATAAAAAATATTATTGTTAAAAATATATATATATATATATATATTTTTTTTTCTTTTTACTTAATTTAATATAAAAAATATTTAAATTCAAAAATAAATAATATAATCAAGCTTTATTATTGCTTCTAAATACTTATATATTTATTTTTTCATTTAAATCTAAAAAATTAAAATTTTTTTTTTTAATTATTAATTTTATTAAAAAATAAAACAAATATTAAAATATCATAAATATAATATAATAATTATTATGAAAAAGGCAGTTAACATTTTATATAACATTAATAATTAATTATATAATTAAATAACGAAATAAAAAAGAAACAAATAATAATATAAATTTAATTAATTGAAAATATTTATTCTCAATTTTATACTAACTTATTTTCTGATTTTTATAATTATGTATTTTATATTATAATTATATAGATAAATAAATTTTAAAATATTAAAAAATAAAAATAATTAATACGCATAATATATATAATAATATATACACATATTTATTTTAATATATATAATTAATAATTATTATATAAGTAAAAGAAATTAAAAATAAAGCAAACACTTTATTCGATACTTTTTATAAAGTATCGATTATTTATATAATTTAAATCGAATTCATATATATATTAAAAATCATATAATATTAAAATTCGATATTATTATTAATATTAATAGTAATATCGAATTAAATATTCGAATTAAAAAAAAAAAAAGAATAAAGTGTGTTTAATAAAAATAAAACAAAAAAAAAATATTTTTTTCTTCCAGATATTTTTTATTTATTAATTTTTCTTATTATTTTATTTTTTAACTAAAATTTAAAAAAAATTTCTTATTAATTTAAAATTATTTTAAAACAGTTTATTTTTTAATCTGAAGGAGGGGAAACAATTATTATTTTTTGTTTGTTTGCCGTTTAACAAAAAAAAAAAACAGTGTAAAAAAGACAGAAAAAATTTTATAATTTAATTCGGAAAAATCAAAGAAAATAATTACAAAAAATTTTTTTTATTTTGTTTTTAATTTGTTTTAAAATTTATTAAAGCAAAAATTAAAAACTTTCTGTTCATAATTTCTTATTTTATACACATATATAAAAATATTCTTAATCAATTTATTTAATTATTTTTATTAATTAATTAATTAATTATTAAAATTTATCAATTATACATTTTTTTTATGTTTTGTTAATTGCTTTCAATGGAAATTGTTAAATTTTTATATTCTTATTAAGTTTGTAGTATTTTTTGTTTTTTTTTTAATTATTATTTTTGACATTGTTTGTTTGTAGTTTGACAATATTGTTTTTATGTTTTTAAATTAAATGTTTTGAAACTAGTTGTTTTTAAATAGAAAAAATGTAATGAAAAAATGTAATGCTTTTATAACTCATAATATTAATTAAATATAATCTCAGTTTGGTTACTTTGCAAACCTTAAAAAATTAATAAAATTATTTGTATTAGAAAAATAGAAACATTAATTAAAATATAGAAAATTTATATTGAAAAAAAAAAATTAATAAAAAATTAAATGAATATTATAGAAACATCGAAATCCGAAGAACAACGAATAATTATGAAAATAATTATAAAAAAAAAAAACAGAAAAAAAAATTATTTAAGTCTTTAACATCAATGCATAAAAAATTAATACTCTTATAAATGCTTTATAGATAAACAAAAAAAAAAAAAAACGATAAAAAATGTAGACCAGTTAAAAGCAAGATCATGGGAACATTTTCGTTTTTTTTTTCTTTTTTATTTAAAAAAAAATGTGAAATCAATACAAAAATTTAGAATACTTTTTTTTAATTTAATCATTTAAAAAATGAAAATTTTTATTTCTTTATTTTTTTTTCTTAAAAAAACACACACACACACACATAATTAATTATTCATATTCATTTGCGTATTATGAAAATAAGATTTAAAATAATTATGTAAAAAAAAAATTAAATAAATTAAAAAAAAGAAAATAAAGTGAAAAAAAGGAAAAAAAATTTATTAAAGTTGTAAAAAAAAATTTAAAATAAATTGTTGTTTTATTTATTTTATAACTTGGGAACAGTACAGCTAGTACATATGTATATAAAAAATTTCGATATGTAGGAATCAAAAACATAACCTAAAAATTTAAACATTAATTTTCCGCATTAAAAATACAAAGCCACCGATTGGAAGAAATGTGTACATTCTATTCTAATCTCACTTATTGTTCTATATAGAAGAAGGTTTAACAGACAAATTGGTATAACAGAATGATCGCAATAGGTATAATAGACAATTTTATATGATCCCAAGAAGAACAAAAGTAACAATATATAATTTTTTAGGAATAATATGCAGATTATGTTTGTAGAATAAAATTTTATAGTATTGGTTTGAGGCTATATAAAATACTTCGAGAGTGTACAACATTCCTACACTACATCAGAATATATTAGGAAAAGTATTTATCAATTTGATGGCGTTTTTTTAATGCTTATTTTTATAAACAAAATAAAAAATTTAAAATTTATGATACTTACATAATTCATAAATTTCTAGATTCCTTGAAGTTTGGTTATGTATTTTATGAAAGGAAAACAACTGTTGGTTGTATTTGCCTGTATGTTGCAGCATTCTTTTGGCTTCCGTTTAAAATTGCTGTTGAATGTTTTATTTACCTTCTACAGAGGTATGGAGAAATTGCCGACAATTTAATTTAGAGTATATTAGTTCTTTTTTTTATATTGAGCACCCAACATCAACCGCAACTTTTTAAAACATTGTTGAACATTGATAATATTCTGATTGAATTTTGGCTCATAATTGGATCGTTCAAATGGGATTTCTAAAATGTTACCATATAGCCGATCTAATTCAATTAACTTCAAT